CACAGATGTACACGAAGATCCCTATAACTTAATTTTCTTTGTTACACAACCACCGACTATTTTTTTATAATATCAAGTGACGGGACGAACAAGTCGTGCGCTTGATGGTAAGCTACACGCCTGTCCATAAGTTAAGTGCCACTCAGAGCTTTAAATCGCAAACATCTGAGAGGCACTGTCCCTGCTCCCGTCACCCTGAGACATAGCTGACAAGTCCCATGTGCCTGTAATTTCACCTATGTACAGACTATACAGAATTCTCGCAAATACCTATTTCGAACTTGAAAAGCAATCATTACAGCAAGGGATGTCAAATGCAAACAAATGTTGTCACGAAATTTTCATATCTCACTCACGAGCAAGAGAACAAACGTGTTGGTTACCAAATTACTATTACCATTCAGTCACTATGAGCCTACTTGATAATAGTCCATCTTGAATTACCTATGGTAAGAATTACAATACATTTTTTTTCTAACTGGACATTGGACTAGACTAAACTGCGACAACCTACGGGATACTTAATAAATAAGTTCGGTGACCTAACTGGGTGAATCACGGAATAGGATTCACACAACATCAATGTGGTTTACTTAATAGTGGTCATCTAGTCTATGCAATAAAGACTGATGAATTAACTGTCTTGACAGTATGTATGGAAAGCTACATGTATATCCAAGATTAATCTAAACGAGACATTTGAGAAAGGAACTATTGTGGTTATATATACTACAAGTCTTCACTACACATATGTATATCTATATATATTAGACAACTTAGTTACCTTATTGTGACCTATTAACATCATTAAGTATTATGCTGTGATACTCTTATCGCAGAGCAAATGTAAGTGTTTGCAGCAACAAGTCTAATTTCGGATATTTAAATACACAATGTTCTTTCACAGCTAATTGTAATTTAATCACTATCTTTTACCAATACAAAGACTATGTCAACCTACAGAGCATCATATTACATGTAAAGCGTATCATTTTCAACAGCGTTTTGTACGAGCTAGTGCTCGTTCACAATGGGCTCCAATTAAAAAATCTTTCTGTAGTTCCAAGACAGAAATACAAGTCACGAAATACATATTTCCAGTCTATTTGAAATCCATCATGAACTAAGTACTACATTTAATAGTGTTCAGTGTGCCATTCAATGAAAGTTTATAAAATATTTAAATTGAAATATTGTATATCTATAGTAGCATTAGTTTGGGAGTCGTCGTTATATCACTTAGAAAAATATTTTATAGCGGTTATATTAAATAAGTTGTACCAGTACTCTAATATCTGTAAAGTATTTTAATACCTGTTGATTACATAAGTATGTAAGTAGACAATACACTATTAGTCTTTTCACGCATATTAGGTACTACACATTAGGCACGTAAACAGGAGGAATGACCAAAGGTTTAATAAAGGCAAGCATATCGATGGCCTAGTGCACACTTGTACCAACTACACTTTTGCTAATTTTAGAGTAATTTGAAAATTTAACTTCCAATTCCAGAAATAACTTGCTATGTATGACTGATTCATAGCATTTATAAAATAGTGTAACTATTAGGTAATAATTTACTTTATAACTCAATGGCTCTTACACTAAACTTGCAGAATTATCGCTCAATTAAAATGAAACCCCTTGCACTAGCACAATTGAGTAGACATGTGTAGCGCTTAATTCTTTAGGTAATTAAAAATTATCCAACAGTATGCAATTATTACGTTTGTGCTCGTAACACTCGAGTACTAAAATCAGTTAAGGTGATTGTGCACAATTTTTTACCAAAATTCTCAGCATGATGTGAGTTTAGTGTCTTTGTGTCCCAACTACATGATTTTTTCTGGAAATAAAATCAGTTTATTTAAAAACGTATGTTAGATTAAGTAATTCCCTAAAAAATAAGAACACTCCATTATTGGAGTCCTGTTTTGAGATCAGTTTACTTGGCGTAACGTTACAAGAAAGAGACAACATATTGGAGTTCTGATGAATGGGAACGATGCAGGGTGACATTTAACGCATTTGGCACCGATAAAACAAAAAAATTAGATTTCGCACTCAGTGCAAATGTATGCCAATTCATCGATATTACAGAACCATAAAATTCGCACCTGTATTACGTGCCTTCACACTGAATCCTTAGAAATAACATTATCTGAGGTAATGTATAGATAGCGACTGCTGCACACTATATGATAGTTTCTTTGAAGTATATATACGGCTACAGTTCACTGGCAAGAATTCTATTTGTACTTGATTGCGTCACGGTGCTTTGCAGTAATATGCTGAATGTACCATTCTTTCCTATAAACATTTTATATACAATTAAAACGATTCCGTATGACAATCAAAGCCGTTTCGAAAGGCTGATATGTTCACGAAATGTATTTCATAGATGTAAGTACACATGAAAATATAATTATCATCTATGTAACATATGAACATTGTTTTTATTATCATATCACTAACTTTTAAGTCAATTTATATGTAGTTATGATTGTATTCTTTCCGTACAATATAAGGTTTATTATTATGTGTTACAAAAAAAGACTTCCCATAACCATTTTATGAAGAGCTTTGACAGTTTTATTTCATGACAATTACTACTATATCGATGACGTGAATAATAAATTATTGTATTATTAGTGTAGTAAACTACACGCCATTGAAGTTCAAAGTATAAATGATTCCGAATAAACAGCTTCAATCTACTGAACTAAATCATGTCAGAGCTTTTTATAATGATGTATGGACTACAATAGAAATTAGTACTTTGAACACATTCAATGATGAAAGTGTCGTCCTTGTAAGAAGGACATTACACTATAATGTCACGACGTTAATTACACTGGATGCCACAAAGTGTATGATATGTTTTCGTTTGAATTCATCTTACTACTATTTGCTGTTATAAAACTACAAGAATAGATTTATTTAAGAGTAAAATTGCGGGGAACATGTAAATTATTATATTATAATTATGTACTTATTTTAAATGTATTACACTAAATTTATATAAAGGAATTTATGTCTCTTTTATATAATATATAATTATTCATGAAATCAATATACCCTATTTGCAAATTCATTAATAAAATCGAGGTAAATAGATATTCAAACTGACGACAGTTCCACGTAAGTGTTTGAAGAGCTGTGTAGCAACAAAATGTAACTCGTGATTATGACTAACGACTATGAGAAGTCAAAGCAACTAAAAAGGTATTGGTTACTGATACACAGGTCTCCTGCCCTCCGTTTTGGTAGCACAGTCGCATCAGACGCAAGATGAGCATTCGCGCGCGCTCTTGAAGCAGCTAGTTATACAAAGTTAATCAACTCAGTGGCGTTACTTTCGCAAAACTTTTAAACAGTCTGACACTTCGACGGAAGGTTCTTTCTGTACTACCAAGATGTGCAGCAGCGTCAGTTTGAGAAACTAATGAACAGTCCACGCAATCATGTCAGTAAAACTTGCGCAATTCAAGTACGCGTTTACAACAGCAAGCGGTATATTGTGCAGGCTGCTTATTTACGTGAATGGCGCAAGTTCACTCGGCTCAAAAACTTTACTTTTTTAATATGATTGACCGTGTAGCGAAGCTCAAACGAGCGCGCACATAGGTTGCGGAACTAGCAATCTTTATTTATTTTAGTCTTGTATACCCCGCAATAAAATTTTAAAACATTGCTTCATTTCATTCATAAACTAACGCGAAGATGAACATTTATGCAAAACTCAAGACGTAGCTTACAAATTAAAATGAATACATGGTAATTATATAAAATTGATTAATTAAAAATTAACCTATTTTATTCTTTGGTGAAAATTAGAACTGTACAAATACGCTAAATTGGGTTTAGTGACAGCGCGCTGGTAGAGTCGCAATTATTAACGTGACAAGTAACGAAAGAAAGAAATAGATAATAAAGAAAATCGAAAACATTGCTAACGAATTAACATTCCGTTGTAGTCAATATATTAAAAAATAAATAAATACATTGGTTTAGAAATGTTTCAAATCGTTATTTACAGAACTACCAAAACAGGAAAAGCTCCCGAGGAAAAAAGCACTAATCGGAATTGTTAGTAACACTTGAAAATCAATATATTAGCAAATTATTTGTCCCAATAGTAAAAGGAATGGGTGCTCGATTGGTAGTTTGCAGTACCCATATACGTAGCGAAATTCATTCAAAATTTTCATATAAAATTTCTAAAGAAAGAAGTAATTTATTTTAGCAAAGTATTTATCAATTAAGGTGAAATATTATCTTTTTTTGCATGTGAGACGTAACATGAGCACATATTAGTACGATTTTTATATTATATACGAAGAAACTTCGCTTTGTCGCATTTATTAAAGTCTTATAGCTAACATTATTACTTAGATTTATTATGCCGCAAAGAATAACCACTTAACGTGTTACATATACAAAAATTCGTTGATAAATTAATTCAACCACTCGCAATAGCTGTTTGTATGCTCGAAATAAGTAATCGTACGGTGAACCATATACTTACGCAATTACTGCAATATTTATTACATTACACATATTACTTGTGCTGATTAAATTGTACAATTCGTTATTTGCATAACCGTCCAATATAATATACAAATTATAACTAATAATAATAAAAGATAAGAACAATACATTAATGTTACTGCTTGACAAGACTAATAAATATTACAAACAAAAAAAATTTTTTTTTGAAAATTAATTTAAGAATTAAAATAACGTGTCATTAACCTAATAATTTTAAGCTCCACAGCCTTGATAATATAAAAACGTACACGAGTAGTATTGGTTGAATAATGTAGTACTGTAAATCGTCAGCATTTAATACAAATTTACAAGGAGTTCATCAATTAAAAATATGCAAACTGTATATAGTGAATAACAGGCATCCGCCTACAGCTATTAATGCTAATTTTTATTCTACGCCATGTAGAAAGCAAATTTTTTACACCATGCTTGTAGGTACTAAATCGTATCTAATGAATATATATTATTTTTTATGTCATAAATTCTGAAAGAAAGAGCAAAGATACCATATTAAACGTGTATGAATTGTTACGGGAGCAAAATGTTAAATATCGTATCGTTTATATGCATAAAATTAGGTCACGCAATATAAATTATTCAATTGAAAATTCCACAGAATATCAATAAAAGTCACAAGCACGAAACAAGTTATATAAATACAACAACACCATAATCCTAATTCGTACAGTCTTGTAAAATTAGAATTGGTATAACATGACCTATGCATCAGCAAGGAGCTCCGAGTAGTAGTGGTTGGCGCTTAAATAATCCAAGAGTCGCCGAGGTAGCGGCAGACTACCGATGAGGTCCCGACGCACATTTTTAAGTATTACAAATCTGCAAAACACATTAACGTTTGGTAACTAAAATTTATTGATCATTACATTCGCCAAGAAAAGTAGAGTAATTATTGTACCTGCACATATGTTGAAGGCTTTGCACCCGCTTGAATCTAGATACGGGGTATAACAATTGCACCCGCACTGGGCCCAGTAGGGGTCTTAAGTTCAGGAAGAACAGGTATCGTCCACTGCGCGACGTCTCTACAGCGTTTTCGATAAATTCCACTATAGTTTGCGCTTTAAACATCGTACAGCCACCGAAGCAAAAATTACCTACAAAAACGCACCATACAACCATTAATCAACAAACTCTTTATGGAATAACTTTAGGTGTGTTGAGCAATACAATCGTAGTGTCAGTCTACCTTGATCATGTTCTATCCTGACATGTCTGAGCCCATTCAACTTGAAAGTCAAAGTAAAAATATAATGGTCATCACTGCTGTCACGCACTATAAATGAGCCATCCGGTTCGTTGGAGAGAACTTTCTCGGCTGCTTCTACCGATAACGGACCCCAATACCATCCGTACTGCAAAAACAAGTCAAAAATAAGAAAACAACGTACCAAGCATACAATTGTCAAGCAACAAGTTTAGAAAACTTACGTCTTTTACTTTCTCTATGGATGTAGCAAAGTCCGTTACATTGTCTTCTTCGTTAGCGGAGCGACGAGAGGAATGTCCTGCTTGTGGGGAGCGCGGCAGAGGCGGCAGTGCACGGCGCACCGCAGCAGGCAAAAACCCTTCCTTGTCATCGTCCCCTTTGTCCTCGTCTTGCGCGTCTTCAGTTACAGTATGGCGTCGCCAACGGAACAAATTGCAGAAACTTTGCTTCAAATTAATCGACAAAATCCTCACGGGTGACATTTTTTCCTTATGAGTTGGATTCATTGTCATTTTCTTCCCGGGCTTGTCATTATTACTTAAATCTCTCTCTTTTTGATTAGTTTCCTTATGTTTCTTACTTTTCGTGTTAACGCAAAACGAGTTTTTAGACTTCTTATGATTATTGTTCGTTTCGGCGGTTTTTGACACCTCAATGCTTTCTGTTAGGAACACCGCTGTGCCAGCCCTGGGTTCCTTGTGTTCTACGTTTGCAGGTTTAGCCTCTATATAAGTGCGCCTGTGTAAGTCTAAATTGAAACTCGCTACGAAAGTGCCATTTCGCTCTCTAATAGAATCTAAGCGATTCTTATGAGGGTGTGGATTGGCATACAACGAGTTCAAATATTTCTGTATTTCCACCATTGTTAGAGGTTTAGGTCCGTTTTCAGGTTCTGTATTTTTTTTGGAAGATCCTGGTAAACTGAAACGTTTAGTTTTGGTTTCTTTACTCTTGCCGCCTTCTTTCATTCTGAGATTTTTCTCGGTGGGTAACGCAGTCGCTGGCATATTTTGTGGCGTACTGTTGCCGCGCTTCTTGTTACTCTTCCCAGACTTTTTACTTTTCAAATTATTTTGAGGGCGTATCATATCAACAGGGACAGCATAAATGTCACTGTCGAAAGGGACATTGTATAAATCAGTAATGTCAGATGTTTTAGCCGAAAGTGTATCGTGAGAAATAGCTTGAGTAATGAAGCTGGAATCGTCTGCTTGAAATTGAGTGACAAGAGAGTTGTGGCTGCTCGACAGCCGCGACGAGAGTGAATTTCGAGAGGATGGCCTGGTCGTGCGGCATGGACTTAGGTGCAGCAGTCGAGGGCTCGCGATTCGATGATTCAAACAGTGATGACGTTCATAGAAAGATTCCGGCTTCAGGTATCTTGGGTACAATGGCGAAGGGTGTTTATTTCCTCTTGACACTTCTAAACTCGTGATTGCGTTATTATTCACAGACTCATTTTTAATGTTCGAACTGGGGGACACACATAACACTGTGGGGTTATCTACACCAACTGGTTCGAGAATATCCTGTAAGTAACCAAATATTGAGTAATTTGTTAAAATGCATGATATAATAAAGACGAGTACCCACCTGAAACTCTCGCGGAGGGTCAATAGTTGTGAAAACTGCTTTTCCCGGGCCCTTCTTTACAGTATTGAAGAAGTCGCCATACATACGCTCTGAGGCATCGGTGGACTCACAAAGCGACAGAGATCGTTCATCGAAATCGCTCTCTTGTAACTGCATAAATTAACGTTTTTGTTAGTACAATACTTAATAAACATGGCAAAACAAACAATGATCAACAGCATGTTAATAAACAATTACTGCACATAGACATTCCGAAGGAACAACATTGTGGTTTATTTATGGCTTTTGGCAATTAAATAAATAATAAAAAGCAAATTATTTATATCATGATCTGTTGATTTCCAAGATTTGAATGCCCAAATTTTGTTGAACTTATATTGACATATGAATGTACATGATAAGACCGGCCACACTCTCCCTCAATTATTGCACCACACTAAACAGTAATTTATGATAGAATGCGAATGGCTGAAAGTTTTGTTTTTGTAGACAATCCTTCTAGGCACATCATGATGGCAATATGGAAGTTCTTTTATAATACAAGATCTCAGTGTTCTCTCAAGCTCTTCATATTTTAATCAAGTTTAAATTGATGAGTACTTCTCAAGACAATGCTGAAGTAAAACCCCCCAAAGGTTACCCACAGCAACATGTGTCAATTTAACAATCAGATGTTATTATATAGAGCTACATATATCATGGCAACATTAACATTGTAACAAGTGTAACATTACAAGAAAAATAATTAATGAGTTATCTATCAAACCAAAAATCCATTTGGATCTAGTATTTGATAAGAAGTTTCAAGTATCATTTATTCCAAAATCATAACGAATACATAAAGATACCTGATACAATACACGATCTTTATTGCTAACCAGCAACTATACTACAATAAATTTCCATAATTGGATTTTCACAACTGAGGACCTTTGTGTATATTGATTTGGAGATACATTGTCTGTAGCAACTATTCCAATTTAGGAAGTGATTCAAAGCATCAAAGATCTTGGATTATAGACTAAGATTTCTGTGGTTAATCACAAAATGATTCTCACTAAGTATAGTTTTCTTACTACAATAAACTTTCTTTTAATTTTCCTGATGTTTCTAAAGCTGCCATATGCCGCTAGTCAGTCAACCTGCGACTATGAAATGTAACCATTCCAAAATATCAGGAACATAAAAATAAAAATGTGTCAGTGGTAAGAAAACTGTAATTAGTGATAATTTACCTCGTATTACTCAGGATGTCCTTAAGAAACTTAAACTTTAGAAGCTTAGAAATCAAGCATATCTTATTACACTTTTATTACATTATGAACTACAACACTGCAAAAATGCATTTACATTTTCAGCAAAACAGAATATATTTTTCTTGGCAATAATTCTACAAAATTGCATTGCATTTGTAGTAGAAGGCACAATTTTAGTATTGAATAAAAAATTTATTCTTATTTATACTGAAGTGTAAATAATTTAATGTGTGGTTAATTTTTGTTAATTTACGAAGACTGTGGAAGAGATCTGCAAGAGAGCATCTTTCTGTTGTTGACAATATGCACTACAGCAATGTGGTGTTATTTACTATATATAGGTATTGTTGCTGGTGTGACATTACTGTTTTCGTAACATTGTCCACACAAACAACAATAAATCATAATAACCTATAGATTTGTTAACTACATAATAAGTATTTTTGTTCTATTCAAGATGCCTACATAAGTATTGTAACCAATACAAATACAGCATGTAAATACATATAATTTAATTTCAAATCATAACGATTTTTGTTTCATATAATGTAAATGTAGAGTTTTATGAGGAGCAATGTGCATTATAATGGAACTCTTTTAAATGTGTACACTCAATCCCAGAAATCACATGTAATACAATGTAATACCAATGTTGGCAATTGTTTTGTGGCCATTTGAGAAATATATATACTGAACTCAACAAATTGTGCATTGTAACACTCTGTGTACTAGAACATTCACTGAAGTAGTTCACAATAATAATGGCTATCTATTGGTCTGGGCTGGGCTCTTGGTGGGATAGTTACTATGAGACACTGAACAAGTAGTGTCCGTATTGACTTATGATTATGAATTTAAAAAGTCAATGTTGTGAGTAGTTTAGTTATATAAAATTCTGCAACATGGCAAAGGTCATAAGTCTTATTTAAAATTACAGAGTTGTAAAATTTACAACAGACCTGAACATGATGTCAATAAGGATGTGTAACTCTTTTGTTATATATTCTGCAATATTAAGAAGAAAGAGTGTTTCTCACAATTTTGGCATTGGTGTCAAATTGACTATTTTTCCAGCCCGTGCTGTTGAGTTCCTCAATTAAATCGACATAATAAATAATAATAATAATGTGCCAGAAACAGACCCACAGGTTGATTCAGAACCTTACGATAACTCTGTTGGCGACCAATTCGATTAGATATCGTATGATTTCTTTTCATTTTTATTCGCAATAACCAAATAGAACGTCAAAGTTTCGTATTCGAAACCGAACCGAAATGACGTCACACCCGTACGATTACTCGTACTTTTCGGCCGGCAATGGCTACGAACGTCATTCAGAACACAGTTATTGAATGATAGTTTCCCAACTTCCTATTGTTTGCAAATCAAGAATGTAACATGGAAATCTTTTATTATTTTAAATAAAATCTGGATCATTCAATTTTATTAGTTTATTTTAATGCGAGACTAATGCATTCCTATAATTTAAGCCTTTAAAGATTTAAAAATGTATATACATATTAAATATGTATATAAAAGGAATAATTTTTCTTGTAACCCATATTCACTAACTCCGTAAACGTTGTTGGATAACGTTTAACTTGAATGTTCCTAATAACTCAGAAAGCGCCAATCCAATTGAATGATTAGAGTTCTGAATCGTGGTCCTGGTCACAAACTACAGAATTCCCTGTACTATATGCTGTGCTTTTCAGAACATATAGACAACACTAATTTAGAAAAAAAAATTTAACCCAAATTCGTCCCTCCATGAATAAAAAGTTTGATGAGAAGGCTCATCCCGCACCCAAATTGCAAATTGTTGAGTTACTGAGGTTATCAAATAGCAACTGAGAATAAATAATCATAGTTACAGAAAAACCACTACCTACTAACAATTTTTTTCTTATTCACTTTGTTTAAAATATTTTCTAATGTGAATAAATAATAAATAAACTTGTTTATTGAATAACATACTGTACAAATGAATAACTAAAGACTAATTATGCGAATAAATGTAGAATATAACACATATACCTTAACTAGGAGAATCCTGTATTTCAGGTAAAAAATACTAATTATACAGGTGAATATATGATGAGTGCTCTTTCTTCTCAGGACAGTAGTACATTAGTGTAACGCAAGCAATGTTTCACCCATCAGTGATCAATTCTTACAGTAACAATTATGTTAACATATAAATGCATTCACAAAAGCTGCATACTATTATAATTAAAATGACAATGTAGTACAAAGTAAATTTATCATTTCATGGCACACAAAAAATCATCATTTAGGAAAGCCAATGTATTGGTGTGTACCTTGATTTTAATTTCTCCTTTCGTTAGAAGGAAGCCAATTGAGGCGCAAGATGATCATTGCGAATCCTACAATTAAAACCATTGTTACTAAATGCATTATGTATAGGATAAATGTATAAATAACTACCTTGGTATAAAATTATGCACTGATTGAGAACAATGTCCTTATAGTTGCTTCTTCCTGCTAGAATTGTTGTATTGCACTCGACGCCTTTTTTAAAACAATCATTAATATAACATTTACGTACATACATAGATACCTACACAGTCGAAATATCTCTACATAATACAAGCAACTGTATTAAATACTATCTCAAAAGATTAGATAGATAAATATGTTGAAGTTTATACCTCTGATGCTACGTGATGCCATCCGCTCGCGGAATCACTCGAAAACGAACCACTTGTAATCAGGAGACCACTGTCTTCACTCAATGGAGGTGCTTCCGAGAGAGTTGAAAAGGAAGGTGGTGAATCCATCACCCCAAAGTCAATAATAATGTGTAATGTACTTTATGAGACATAGATGATAAATTGATAATTTCTTTTTCGAAGAAATTTTTACACAAGAATTGCCTACATCTTCTTTTATATAGAATCACAAATTATAAAGATATAGTATAGAAATGGTATAGAATGAGAAATGTATGAATGAATGAATGAACTATTTTGAATGAAAGAAAAAGCTAAGAGCGAGTTGACGAAAAAATACTATTAGAAAACTATTCATTTTGTGATTAATAATAATTGAGATTCTTTTAGTCTCTTTTGCGATAACTGTTTTTTATACGCCATATCTTACAGGATGGAAAAAAAATAAAGGAAATATTTATCGAACACATTATTAACATTTATTTTGAGAGTGTTAGCATCGACATCACAAACTTTCATTCATTTCATTTCACTTTGGCCACCAACTTGTCATCTTACAGGGGGCTAACAGTGTCCTGCATTGCAGTCCGCCGCATAATGCAGGATTATGAAAGTAGTTGCAGCGTGCAAGCCATCCTGCAATCCTTTAATGCGACCTGCGAGATTCCGTACGTGGGTCATACGCAAGATAGTGTGTGAGTAGTCTCCTGCTTGGGCGATGGGCGACGAACTGCCATGCACGTAATCAATGGGGTGTTTTAGGCCATGGAAACAAATTTTCCATTCTCTTAAAAGGGGTATTTTCTTTAGGGGTCTTTTGGAGTCTTTAATCATAATTTGAGGTCAAAAGTTTTTTTTCGCCATTTTTTTATATGGCTGCCATATAAGTGCTTTTTTCGTTAAAAAATAGCCGCCGAATGAGACTCACTCTGTTTCAGCTGAAAATTGGCATGTGGAGGCCTCTAGAAGTGCCAAATAATAATTTGTGCTCAAAATTTATTTTTCGCCATTTTCAAATATGGCCGCCATACATGCGTTTGTTGACAGTAGAAAAAAAATTGTTTTGATCCCTTCCAAAATAGTCATGTGGGAGTATCTAAGAGTGCTTGATAATAATTTGTGATCAGCATTAGTTTATCGCCATTTTTCAATATGGCTGCCATAGAAGTATTTTTTGGCGGTAGATGAAAATTTGCTCTAATTCACTTGAAAATCGGCATGTGGGGGAGATCCTCACATAGAGATTATGGCTGTTTAATAATAATTTGCGGTTTTAAATTTACTTTTAGTCATTTTTCAATATGGCCGCCATTTGTTAATTCTTTTAAAAATATAAGTGCCGAGGCCGTAGGCCGAGGTCTAGCGGAGGGCGAAGCCCGAAGCGTCCGTACGCTACCGTACGTAGTTAGTCGAGTACAAGATTTCACAATTGTTCAAAATCTAAAGCGTACTTCCCGATGTAGTGGAAATAAGATACTTATAGCGTTGTTGTATCTCGATCATCTCTCTGATAGATTCTTTTTTCTTGGAAGCTATGCCAAACACAGAAGTATTTAGGAAAAAAAATACCAGACAATCCTCCAAATTTCTGGTCTCAAACTAGGGAATTTCCTGTACTATGAGTACCAGAGTAACGATAATTCTGAGGGCAATGCTCAGAATAACCTGACCAGAACCTACTTAATTTTTTTTTTCATAACTTGGCTCAAATCAGGGATCGAATCTGGAACCTCCTCATCAAACGCCCATAGTACTTATGACTGTGCCACTGAAGAGCATAAGCACACCCCGTAATCTGCAACCGACCACGCGCCGCAGGCCGAGCCCGACCCCACCTACGGTGGGGTATAGGGCTCGTTGTATAGCTACAAATCCTGAGTCACTTAACAAAATAGAACGAAAACGAAAATAGAACGTGGAAAAAAGATATTTATACCGTTGTACGCGGATAGGCTCCAAGGCAAAGAATCAAATATGAGAAGACCTGAATGTGGAAAATGTGAACGAGTGATCAACGGCTTGCAAAAACTATAATACATGGGGGGATTTTTGTGCACTTTTATGAGATACACCTTGGTCAATTTCCGCAGAAAGTAAAAAATATTCCAAATTCAAATAAACAAGATGGCTGCCATACAAATTTCGAAGCCTTCTAGCAATCCTGACTTGAGCATTGAGTAGAGTTCTAGATTAGAACGAGCTGACAACGTTTAATCGTGCATCCCACTCGAACTTGTACTAATAGTAGTGAAAGATCGCTATTTGATCCGCTTGCACCGTTCCTACTGAATAAAAGACAGGTGAACTATCAACGCAGACATTTCCTAGTTCGTACTGAACTAAAAAGAACGATGAACTATTAACACCGTCTAAGACGAACTAGTTCTAGTTCAGCAAACCAATCTTGGCCTTCAATCCCCTTTGACTAGGATTTTCAACGAGTACAATACGATTAACAGTAAAATCGAGGACTTAGATGTGTACCACGACAGGATAAATATTTTTGTCAATAAAATTTCAAAATTATTCAAATTCGAGTAGTAGGTATTGATAACGTTAATTTAAATTAAGTTATTATAAGTTGTTTTAGTAACCCTTCTATTATAAATGCTATGTACACCGTAATTGTCATATATATCAGATGTAATTCCGTATGTTGAATGTTGAAATGTTGTAATATATATGATGTGGTAGTACTTAATAAATAAAATAAAATAAACTAGTTCATGTTGGTCAGTGTCGCGATACCTAATAGTTCGTGGTACATGAACTATACAAGCCTACAAACCAAAGGTTCTCAAAGAAACCGAAGAGAGTTGCGATTCGTACTAAACCCGGTGGAGTTAATAACTCCGCGAGTCGATAACATTGCGTCGGATTCAGTAAAGGAGGCGAATCCGCTCGCGGTTTCGGATCATTTGAATCTTTGACTCCGGAGACTTTGACCCACGTCTATACATATAGTTCATAATTCATGAACTAATCAAGCCTACAACACAAGTGTCAGATCAGTCAGATCAGGTCAGTTCGTTCGTTTCTTTCTATCTGATCTGTGCTGTTTAGACTGTCTTTATTATTTCTGGTTTTGCGTGAAGATTTATTGATAACGGCTATTTTTTGTGGCGTAGATTAATTAACTCATATAAAACTGCAGAATTTATGTATTAACGCAATTTATTTTTGTAAAACAAAATGTTAAAGAGTTCCGGGGTTGGAAGATTTTTTGGTGTTGATCTTGTTGATTGAACGAAAATAAGTATTTGGTTATGATACTTTTGTTATCCGATTTCATATAATAGAATTTGTGAGACTGCGTGCATGACGCTCCAAAGCCCCCTTTCGTTGCCCTCTAACCCGCAACCCGATTTATTTACTGACACAATGAATATGGCTGATTCACATGTTGCAAATATTGTCAACGAGATATTGGTATGTTTCACTTTGTATGGACTCAATTGGTTTATGAATTATGACAATGAGTCAAAGCGTTGTATCTGGTATATCCTTTATTTCAGCGGGTGGAAGCAGTCGAGGAAGCATTCAGTTGCTTCCTTGTTCACAAACCAGAGCAAGAAAATGAAAGATTATCAATGTATCAGAAAAAGCTATGTGCTGTCATGACTACTCTTAGCACGGACTTACAGGAATCCGCCATCCGTCAGTACCTTACCCTAACTGCAGTCCTCACCAACAGATACAAAATGAAGCAACTTCTTACACTTTTAGAAAATTTGGTGAATACTAATATTCTACAAGCCAGGTCAGCTTTGCACTTTCTACACATTTACATTCAAATTTGTGGCTTTCTGTCACTTATTTCTATGTGTTATCTGATTTTAGAATGTTATGTGATTGCATACTTGCAAGTGAGAAGCTTGTGTATGAGAATGCAGACTACTGGATAGAATGCTTTAACCTAATTAGACGTATCATTGGAGGGGTGGACTACAAGGGAGTTAGAGAAATTATGAAGGTTGGTTGCTTTGATTATGGACAAGCAGTATTTCTAATTATAATGTTTACATTCTCTAAGGTTGCACACTTTGTTGTCCTCCATAAATGTTATTTATTTGTCTCAAATTTATCTTTATTTGTGTATTTGTTTCACATTTTGTTTACATTGCTTGTGACAATAAGTAAATGTGCAGTATCAAGTATATAACCAGAAATAGAGGCTTATAAATATCAACTCTCATTTGCACTGAAATATAGACTGCACCAATAACTGACCTGTGAGTATGTCTCTGTATATTCCAAAAATATTCTGTATTTATTGTAATAAAGACAATATCTCTAACAATAGCGTGGTGTGTGGAAAAACAGCAGCACATCTAATGAAAAAATAAACAATCAAATTTCATCAGTAATTAAAAATAAAATATGCATTAATTTTACAGTTTTCAACCATTACAACAAAGCTCAAGTTAACTGGTCGATTTGAAGTGAAACAATTGACGACACATGTCAATTCTTTCGAACTCGGACTAGCCAATCGGAGTGCAATTGTCACAGTAATGATATGGCAGAATAGTTTTCAAACAAATTAAATGACATTTCGTCTCTATTTCTGGTTATATTCTCGATGATCTGCAGTATCTCACCAATTTGTTACCTCATTGTGCTATTTGTCTCTTTAACAGGTTTAATGTTAATTAATTATTTTTGTAGAATTGCCGTGAGAAAGCTCATACACTGCCAATGCGATTGAACTCCAGTACTATGCCACAGATGAAAGCTCTTTACAACGTTATTGAATACATTTTTGACCGTAATGCTTCCTTGCTGCCAGCATATTTTATAGTAACTGAGGTACAGAAGGACTATCCAGATAATAATCACTGGCCACATTGGGTGAGTTTGATAATATATTATATCATCTTTGCACTTATGAGTGTAATTTCACTACCTCTATTTACTTTGACTTATTGTCTTCAGCAACTCGCTAAACTGTTGACTAGTTTTGTGGAGAGTTTTAAGCCCTGTGCACAAATGGTCTCCATAATAGGACATTCACAAATGCTGCCAGTTGTTGAATTCTCTGGCTATGCCGACCATCTTATAAACCCATGGAGATTAGATCCAACTACATTGAAATTTTCATTAAAAGGTAACTTGCCTTATGATGATGAACTATTGAAACCGCAGATAGGCTTATTGAGGCATGTACTCCAACAGCCATACTCTAGAGATATGATGTGTTCCATGCTTGGCCTGCAAAAGCAACATAAGCAGAGGTGCATAGCACTTGAAGATCAACTTGTGGAACTAATGATATTGCCAATGGAAAGGAGCGAACAAGAGACTGAGGATGATGAGATGTCTTCTACTCACTGGTGCTGGTTACATCTATCATCACAGGTTATTTACCTGATTTTGACCGGATTTGCTTCATTTCCAAACATAGTCATGGGTCTTCACAATAAGTTGATTGGTCGTGACATGAAAAAAGGCAGAGATCATCTCATGTGGGTTCTCTTGCAATTTATATCAGGCAGCATTCAGAGAAACCCTTTGTCTAACTTTCTACCCATAATTAAACTTTATGAGCTATTATATCCTGAGAAGGAACCTCTACCAGTACCTGACTGCACCAAAGCCCATTATGCGCAATACCAGATGGCTGTTGTGTGCATTTGGATGCACCTGTTGAAAAAAGCTGAATCTGAGCATAAGACAATGACCATGCCACAAAACTTGAAAGTGCAATATGAGTATGTATGACTTCTTATTTTATATTTCAGATGTTTACCCTAAATAACATATTTTAATATCATGATTTATTTCATGCAGATTTCTTCAACATCTTGTGAGTTCAAACAATACACCAACTCTACTTGGTACTGACTACAGAATAGCATTATTATGCAATGCCTATTCAACAAACCAAGAATATTTTGCAAGACCAATGGGTATCATCATCGAAACTCTGTTCGGTAGCCAGAAAGCGATGCCTAACGGTAACCCTGCTGCGCCGTTGCCAACTGTTCCATTGTCTATGAACATTCTAGATAGCCTGACACTCCACTGCAAGATGTCATTGATTCATTCGATTGTGACGCATGTTGCAAAACTGGCACAAAACAAGACTAATATTCCCGGCAGCAACATGATGGCCCCGGCGCTCGTTGAGACATACAGTCGCCTTTTAGTTTATACAGAGATTGAGTCTCTGGGAATTAAAGGATTCATAAGTAAGTTAAATTGGTTGACGTGAGAAAAGTATAACTTTAATAAATTGTTTTCGTGTAAAGATAGATATTTATATATATACAGGAGAACAAGTCACTATTTGGATACCAATGTTCCTTGTGTAATAATGTCATCTGATATTAAGATAGCATGCAATTGTATTGACTCAATAAAGATTATTATAAGTGCAAATAAAAATGTAGCACAGTAAACAACTTTCAAGATTTATTGGATGTTTATTTTAATTTCTTGTACAGTGACCATATTTTTATTCCAGATCAATTATTGCCTAACGTATTCAAATCGCACGCCTGGGGTATCCTGCACAATCTGTTGGACATGTTCTCCTATCGCATCCACCATATTCAGCCACATTATAGAGTGACTCTCCTGTCCAACATACACTCACTTGCGGCCTACCCACAAGCAAACCAAACGCAATTGCAACTTTGGTATGTACAGCAAACCGTATACCACATATTACATTTTAGTGTTCTTTATGCTTTTATGTCAGCTGCCACGGGGATTCGAAATCAGATTTTAGATGTCATTACATTGTGCATTCAAGCCAGTTGACTTGATATTTTTCAATGTCTGTTCATATTTCAGTTTCGAGAGTACGGCTCTTCGTCTAATAACGAGCTTGGGAAGCTCTGGTGTGCAGTTGCAGATGTCCAGAGTGGTATCTGAGCCTAAATCCCTGGTTTCCTCTGAGAGCGAAGAGCTGAACCGCGTGTTAGTGCTAACTTTGGCACGCGGCATTGCTATGACTGGAACAGGTTTGTAATTTTGCTTGTGTGTCTGCTAATGGATACTGGGCCTTGTGCTTGTTGGATGACAAACAACTATGTTACTGAAATTTTTCTGCTTTTCGTGAAGCTATGATTTAAACAGTCCAGTTCTTGTAGTAGTAGGATATGGAACTGGTATTTTTATTGCAATTGTCGCCAAATTACTATTAGTAACAAAATATTTCAAATTTGCACCAAAATAAGTTACCATTGCTTCTTTAAATCCAACCATTACGCAATGTCGTGTAATATGTTTGAATTAATTTTTGATTGTTTATTGTTAGATTAGCCACCAGGCCATTCATTACAACGCAATGAAATTAGTTAGACCTGGGGGCCTACTATGACTTTGTAAGGAAGCAGTACAATTCAGTTTACGTGGTACAGTTGAATTGTTTAAACTCGTATCATTACCTACACAAAGTTGTGCGACTATTGAACAGCAAGATATGTGTTACTTTTTAAACATAATTATTGTCTCTGGCCTTCGATCAAATATATAGGTAGATGCACGTTTCCATACAAAATCCAACCCAAACATCATCGTTCTCGCGTCAGCTTACTTATAGTATAGGCACAGTGTAAAGCGTAAGTTCCAAAACTTTTTGGCTCATCGCCCACTTAGGCAACCACCCCAAAAATTAATTGATGACACGTATTTTTTACATTAACTTGAAACAAAAAAATTCGAAGGAAAAAGAGTTATATATAGATAATTCAGATTTTTTTCAAATACGGTAGTACCCCGTGGACAACATCAGCATCCCTAATTGCTTTCGAGGCGCCTACCGTCTCACTAGGACTCTTCAGCGCCCACTGAGGTGCGGTAGGGACGTTGGGAAACTATGGTGTAAAGAATAACACCTTTGGAGTCTTGCGAAATGCCGCTTTCGTCCAGACATTACGTCATACCGCAGGGTTGTCACCATGTGTTTTTTGTATTTAGTCTGATGAGATCAGTGTCCTACTAAGTACTATATCCGTATTGGTCATAATAAAAAAAGATGTTGGTCTGGGGCTTTCTCACGAGCAGTTTTATAGTATGTGCAGTAATTGTAGTGTGTAGTATACAAGTAATATAATTAAAAAATACATTTTTATGTTTAAACGTTTTATTTTAAACAAAATACTCAATTTTTTCCAAATTATTTATATTAAAGGGTCTTCCATATGCTTCAAAACAAAGCTTGCACCTGAAAATAGTAACAAGCATTTAATTAGCTACTTTCTTTAAGTATTATAATACTTAAAGAAAGTAGCTACTCAAGTCTATCAAGGATTTAATTATGATATTCATAATCATTAACTCCTATAACAGCTAAAACGATACCCGTATTGTTTTTAATTGAATAATCGTGCCCGCCTTCTTGGATTTAGTAATAAATGCCATATTCGTAATGAGCACCCCCCAAATACCTCGACAACGATATCCAACTTGCCATTATTTGAAAAGGCGTGCCCGCGACCTTGAATTTTGAAATAAATGCCGTGTCCGTAATAAGCACTCCCAAACACCTCGACAACGATACCTATAATTATTGATTTTATTTGAAAAGTCCGGTCCACCATTGTATCGTGACGAACAAGTCGTGCACTTAGTGGTAAGCGACACGTCTGTCCATAACAGTTGCAATGCCACTCAAGGCTTTAAGTTGCAAAGATTTGAGGGGCACTTTAAATAGTTCAGTTTTACGTAATTATACGATTTTACTATGAGAAAAACTGTGAACATATTTTGAACGATCAATGCTAAGAGCAATACGCCTACTACAAAACAACTAACTATACACCTAAGCCTACTATAGGTTATTGTTCTTAGGGTCAACGAAAACTGCATGGAAACGTTTTTGTTTTTGTGAGGTTTTGCACAAATTTGACAGGCAATTCAACCTATAACAGCTTATAGTAGACCCCCGGTTGGAACATTGATGTTAATTTATTGGCGTTTGGTAGTAATAGATTTGGTAAGGACTGCGAGTAATATGCCGATGACAATGATAAATAGATACATGTAGAAGACAGGCTTTTAGTAAAATTTCGAATTACATGTGCAGGCAGCGATGGCGCGGCGGTAAAGGAATTGCTGACGACGATAATGACCAACACGCCTCACATGTGGTCTCAGCACACTCTGCAGTGCTTCCCGCCAGTGCTTGTGGAGTTCTTTAAACAGGTTTGTTTTGTACAACATTTATAGCACAATATACATAGATTGAAATACAAACTGTGCACTAACTTTACACAATCGTCATCAAAAATACAAATTCATGGAGTCATGGTTGACTAAAATTCAATAACATCGTCTTCTCTTACTAACTCGTTACAAGCATTAGGAGAATTTTTCTGAGCAACATATTTTCGGTTAAGCACTCCTCATCTTTAGTTGTCAATCTCATTGTATCAAAGAGTTATTTCGGCCTGTGTTTTGCAATTCCGGCGATTACCGAATATAAAAAAGAGGACGAAGAAGTAAGAAAATGAAAGTAAATTATCATATAATTTTTATTCATTCTAAACATAGGTGTAACAAATCAAAACTTATTATTGTACTTTAGTTATCACTAAATAAACGCCAACAAAATCAACCAAGTACTTCTTATATGCAAATCAAAATAAAATTAAGTTTTTGAAAGTTAATCAAATTTAAGTGTGATAAACAATTACTTTCCTTATTAACTGTCGTAATATTTAAGTTATAAACTTGAAAATTAAATTATCTTTTTTGGTTCATTCTACACAGTGGTATTATACGTGCCAATTTTCGTACGTTGAATATTCGGCTATTCGTACACGGTCCTGGCCGAATATTCGACGGCCTGGTAGGAATGGGTGTACGCATTGAAGAAAAAAAACAACGGAAGTGCCTTATGCCTTGATTACTATGAGAACCGATGTCGCCAAAACTCACACATTCTTAATTTGAAACACTACAAAATCTTAATATTGATTGGTCGTAGTATCAAATTTAAAAAGAAATAACATATTCTGGATTGCTAATACAGTTTAAACTTTACTCTGTTGCCATATAGTTGAAAGTTCAATAACATCTATTGATGTGATTGAACCTATTATTACAGTTTTGATATTATATTGAAATTTCAATCAATGTACTGCCATCTAGCGATTAATTGCTGAACGACGACGAATTGGAGCTTTTAATTTAGTTTCCCTAAACAAGAAGCAATCATATTCCAGAGGTATAAGCTTTACTTTCGTTCCTTGTAACAAAAAAAATATTTCGATGAACAGAAAATTGATAATTTATAAAAAAGAGACTCCGATTATATGAAATACAACCACGGGTAATATTTTTGGTGCGGTTATCATTTTTATCCGAAACAGCACAATAAGGCATTTTTCCAGGATTTTAGAGAATTTGCTCGAAAGAATGACACCACCACGCGAAAATGGCGGACTGAGCTCAGACAGGTCTTTTGAGACCTATAGTTATACACGCGTCAGACGCTAACTAACCACTTCTAAAATTCTTTAAATACATATCTGGTTTACTTGGTTGGTAACTTTATGAGCTGGTTAAGCTAACCGGTAATACGTAAGCGCGAAATATGTGTTCTTAAAACTAATACACTTTAGAAAATAATAATAATACAATATCAAACATACAAAAATTGTCTTCATATGTAATAAAGTATCGTTTACAGAACCCAGCCCCAAAAGAGAACAAGCAATTATTAAAGAAGTCAGTGGAGGAAGAATATCGGAAGTGGACTTCGATGGCGAACGACAACGATATTATTTCGCATTTCTCTGTGCCCGGCACGCCTCTATTCCTTTGTTTATTATGGAAGATGATCTTCGAAACTAATAGGATCAGCCCTATCGCATTCAAGTGAGAATAGTTATTTTTTTATTGTTTCTCTGTGGCGAGACATTTACTGGAATTGATACCCTCCCAAAGAAAGTTATATATGGTGTAATTACAGGCTCATGGGGCTTGTCAACTTATGTCACAGGGTGACGGGCGCGGTTGCAGTGCAAAGCGTTGAGTGGCACTGCAGCTGCTATGGACAGGCGTGTTGCTTAACACCAGGCGCACGACTTATCCGTTCTGTCACTAGGTATCATAAAAAGAAGTTTATGGCGCCTCTACCCGATGGGCCAAGTACGCCTCCATAGTACCGCAATCTTCGTAATCGTGTTAATCGCACTGAATCTTTGGTAATAGTGGAGAGACGTGCTGACGTAGACAGGCCAATTCGTGATGAAAAATAGACAAATCTTCGACCAATGACAGCTGCTGCTAGTGCATCGGTCATGGTTGTTCAACTCTCGCCCATAATTTAGAGCAATGTTTAAAAAAACTACGAGACTATGATAATCATAAAGTTATTTGCCCTCAGGATATTGGAACGCATTGGCGCCCGCGCGCTGTCAGCTCACCTACGTAAATTCTGCGATTTTTTGATGTACGAGGTGACCAATCCGGTGACGGGAGGCACGCACATCAATAAATGCGTAGACGCCATAAACGACATCATCTGGAAGTATAACATTGTCACCATTGACAGACTTGTCTTGTGTTTGGTATGTATTTTCTGACGATTGTAAGTTTTCTGTAAATGTGGATTTTGATTCATATACCTAACCACTGGGTTCAGGCAAAAGGCGAAAAAATTCCAATAATTTTTAATTTTATTTGATGCTGATGTCATTTACTCCTGCGTCAGCGGATGTACAACACAAGCGTGCCGATCTACAGTCAAAATGTACCTTAATATGGACCATTACCTGTATTACTATTGACCAATCTGTAGTACTATTAGTAACAGTAAGGGTGTTTTACAATATTCTTACATTAACTTAGGGTAATAACGAATAAAGTGATACCTTCCTATTGCTATTGGTAAAGATTGTTGATAATACTAGAAATGCTCCTTTTTATGAATCAAATGCTTTGTTGTGGGTGAAATATGGCTTTAAAGCCGTTTCTCACGAAAGCTTTTAGCACCTCGTTAGCAACACAGTGGTTTTTGCTGTTAGTTGTCGTGTTTTGAGCGATTACATACTTATAAGTGTTGTCATGTTTTAAGCGATTACATATTTTTAATTAATTACATGCCATTGACAAACGTCACTAAAAGCTAAAGTTGCTTTTTCACCGCCGAGGCGACACGAGGATTAAATTTATATGGCAAAATTTTCAATGTAACGCAACGAAGACGCAATTTCTCGCGCGAGCTCGCGATGGCTTTTAATATCGATCGCGAGTTTGTGAGGTATGCACGATTTGACATTTAAAAAACATGGATTTAAAAGATTTGTAAGATTTCTTTTGCTAACATTTTTAATAATAATAATTTACGGTCCCGTAAATCGGTGGCGAGGCGAGAAAATTGTCGGTAATAAAGCCGGAGCAAAACAAAAAATGCCTATACCTAAAGAAAAAGTAGCGTCGACATTTCAACACAACTTATTGGCACACAAGGTACTAGTACACTTCATTTCACTGGTTAACTTATTCTACACATAAAATTTAGCACAAAATGTAGTATTTGAAATACGTGGAAAATTTTAGACAAGCCGATTAAAATCGAGTTATATGGACGCCTTGCCAACGTGAGATGTATTACTCAGTCGCGTGTTTGTCGCTAGACGAACTTTTTTAAAAGTATAGTGAAGCAAAAACTTTATACTAAAGGTTATTATACAACTTCTGCGTACTCGGATGGAGGATGGAGGTAGTCTCGTTCTCTAATGTTTCAAATAAAATAAAAAATATAATGTAAATGTTGAATGTGTACAAATGTTATTTGCAAAGAGCAACCCATAGAGTTTCTTGCTCATTCTTCTCAGGGGAATCTGCCTTACGAATGAGCGGTAGAGTTTAACCATTGTGACGATTTCAAGTGTAATAATGCTTACCTATGAAATAAAAATTATTTTGAATTTGAATTTGAACTAAACAGCACTGAATCTTCATTATCCACAACCACAGCGCCAGCTTGCGCGACCTATTAACCAATTTTTGGTGACAATAGACCGGCGAGGTTTTAATTCTCGTCTCGTGTCGCCTCGCCGGTGGAAAACCACCTTAACGCGGCGCTAAATGTGATCATGTGGAAAACAGTCATTACTACTAATTTACTATGATATTATAAAAATATTAGGTGTTAAGACCAAATCCGGACGGCAGCGAGAGCCAAGTGTGCATCTACATCATCCAGCTGCTGCTGCTAAAGGGCTCCGAACTGAGGAACAGAGCTCAGGACTTCATTAAAGAAAACTCGCCGGAGCACTGGAAACAAAATAATTGGCAAGATTTAATTATATTTTTTTACAATCCAATAACATTTGTGTAATTATATCTTACACAGCAGGGACCGGAATATGTAGAGTCAGGGCTTGGAATATCGGAAACGGTATTTCAGGGATCGGTACTACTAGCCTTGGTACAGTGCCGGTACTTAGATGCTACCGGTATAAATTGTACCTGTATTTTCTGGAACATCAGTATCAAGTGTCAAGTGTACCTGTATTTTCATAAATTGGTTCCACTGATCTTAGTATGGTATCAGTTCTATACATATATATTACACAACCTTTTTAATAATAAGAAATGTTTATTTTTTCTTTCTTTTCTTTTACATTCATTATATTAATTTATAGTGACACTGAAGCACTAACCATTTTGTGTCAGTGTTACTTGGGGGCTTTCGTTTATCCAGTTGACATATAGGTTTGATGAGGTAATTACTTATAAAAAAAATAACCAGATGTATTATATCACTCTAAACCGTCTCGCTTCATTTTAGCATTGTACTGAATAGTTTTCATCCCTACCGCTTAGTTTTAAACTGAAGATTCGTGAGTGCAAATGTCAATGCAATGAAAACAGTACACACGAGCAATTTCCCTCGCGGCGCGCCGACATGTCCTGACCGGAACCGCTATTGAATACCTTACCCGCACCTGTCGGTAAATATTCTATCGGTTTTCCTATGGTATCGGTATTAAGATATCGAAATGGAAAATACCAGTACAATACGTGATACGAGTAACATCCGTTACACGGGTGCTTTATGTCTCTGTTCCTCGAAGTTTAGGAAAATATACTCTACCTATTATAATCACTGGATATAAGCTAACGTGGTACAGCGGTCTTTAAAACTTTTTTTATGGGTTTATTTCGGGATATGAGGCTGTACAAAAATATCATTCCATACATATATTACATACATACATTAAATTAATTTACACCTATTTTTATTTTGTTTTTTATTATGTTTTTATATTTTCAGGTATGACAAAATAGTAGCTTTCCACCGAAGATATCCTGAAAAGTTCACACCAGAAGAGGCCAACACCGCTTACGGCACTCCTATTCCAGTTTACTTGAGCAATGTATGTTTGAGGTTCATACCAGTTCTGGACATAGTTGTGCACAGGCATTTAGAGATCCCTCAGGTTAGCAAAAACCTAGAACAGTTACTCGATCATCTCGGGCATCTCTACAAATTTCACGGTAAGTATCTTCACTACCTAAGTTCTCCAATATGGAATAGTAAATTATTCATGCTTGATGATATGATGATAATTTCCAGGTCTGAATAAGTAAACTAAACCTTGTTTTATTCCGTCTATTAAAAAATAAAATAAAACTACTTTAACGAACATTGAAAATGAAATTATATTTTGTGTGCAGTTAGTATGAGATTTTTTTGAATTCAGTTTTTTTTTTCAGATCGTCCTGTGACATTTTTGTACAACACATTACACTATTACGAGGTGAAACTTCGTAACAACGCCTTACTAAAGCGTAAACTGGTAAATGCCGTGCTCGGGTCATTAAAAGAGGTACGACCTGCAGGCTGGGCCACGACAGAAGCGTTTCAGACATATCTTTCGAAACCAGACGTAGAGGCTACCACATGGGCACCCGACCTCAACTACTATCTGAGTTTGGTAAATAGAATGGTTGATAGTATCCTTTGGCACATATTGTTGTTTATGTTTTAAATATTTGTCATTCCTTTACTGAACTTTGAAGACACCCACTTCTTATGTTCTGAATATTATAATTTGTTGGTATCACTTTCCGTGACGTATGATTTTTTTTATTTTTTTTTTTTTGATTTATACTTTCCAAAGAGACTTTTTATAGTGGAAACTAAAATGTGGTACTAAATTTTGCAACAAAGGTTAGCTGGAAAAAATCTCTTTATGGGATAAGCTCGCCTTTGTACAAGAATGTTTTATTTCTTTGTTAAAAAGTTGTTTTTGTTGTATAATTAAGTGTATACATACAACATTATTTATAATTTTGCAATAAATTTTTCTTAACAAAAATAACAGCAATGACAGGCAACTCCCACTTTCCAAACTCGGATTGGCGATTCAACGAGTACCCCAACCCGTCAGCCCACGCGCTGTACGTTACTTGTGTCGAGCTCATGTCATTGCCTCAGGCGCCGAACATCATCGGGAATAATCTGCTCGACGTGATTACCAAAGGTTTCGTGGTCATACCCACCACCAAAATACAATTGTGGATCAATGCAATTGGTCTCATAATGGCCGCCCTTCCTGATCCATATTGGACAACATTACACGACAGAGTTTTTGACCTAATAGCGAACAATGAAATGGTTGATTGGGCGTCCCCTCACTCCCCGTTCCAGCTGTTCAATTTGAAGACTACGAACGACGCCATGCTGGAGAATAAATACAGTTTGGTTCTGGCGCTCGCACATGCAATCTGGTACCACGCTGGTTCTGGGCAGATCATGCAAGTGCCGCAGTAAGTTATACTCAATATTCAACTTAAATAACTTATACTAATGTATCGCAGATATGCTAAGACGTACGAAGGACACCTACAAGTTTAAAACTGATACAGTATAATATTTATTTTATTAATTTGGGAGAAAAAACAATTAAGTGCAAAGTGTACAACATATATTACATAAAAAGTTCACATTCCTACAAATTACTTAGGATATGTCTATTTAGTTTTTTTTAATATCAACTGATGGTGTCTATTTAGTTTTTTTTAATATCAACTGATGGGACGAACAGGTCGTGCGCCTGATGGTAACCTACGTGCCTGTCCACAACACTTCCTCCGCGCTCGTCACCCTGAGACATAAAATGACAAGTCCCATGTGCCCAATGTAATTTTACCAGCACGCTTACCCTTCATAACCGGAACACAGTAACGCTGACATTACTGCTTGGCGGCATAATAGGTAAGGTGGCAGAATTACCCTGGACGAACTCTTTCACAAGGAAGCTCTATTGCTACTAAAAAGTTGCTAAAGTTTACTCGTTATACGTTTCAGGTTTATCAAAGAAAAACTATCGCCCGAGATACGAACGGAGACACAGCTGCTGTTTCTCTGTCACTTAGTAGGTCCGTTTCTGCAGAGGTTCAACTCTGACCTGTCACGCACGGTCATGGACATCACAATTACGCTTTACGAGCTCCTCGCACACATCGACAAAGCGCAACCTCATCTGCAGTATATCGATCCCATATGCGACTTACTGTATCCTTTTAATTTCGTGATCAAAACGTAAAATGTTTTTTTAGTAGATAGGCGCATTTTGTGCTAGTGCCAATAAATCTTAGTGATATTCATGGTCATAATCAACCTGTTATACATATATATACGTATACATCATCTCCTTGCAGGGCACGTCACTCACAAACACTAAAGGTGCACTTTTCAATCGAAACGCTTAAAACCAGCTTTAATAAAGAATATCTGTCCAAAATACGTTTATGTATTTAGATCTGTTTATTTTCTCTGTTGAATACGGCATTCGACTTTTTTTATCGCTTTATTCAATTGTGATGGACATAATTGATAAAGATTGACCTAAAATTCGTTATGCTATATCTAAGTAATGCCCGTAACATTCCTACATGATTGTTTCAAATCAACGATGGGGATATGGTCCGTATCTTCTAAGCGAAACGGTCCCTAAGTGTGGCATCATTAAAGTGCAATATCAATGTAAAAGAGTTTCAATTTAAAATATTTTATGAAAGTTGCTTGTAGTACATTTTTGTTAAAAGAGTTTAGACAATGAGTTTTCTTAGCTAATTCTTCAGTTACCATATAAAATACATGTTCGTCGGCGACACGTTAAAGAACGAAGCGGAGAGCGTGATCCGTAAACTGCGCCCGGCGCTGCAAATGCGACTGCGGTTCATCACGCATTTGAACGTGGAACAAATCAACACTGCCTAGCAGAACGAATACTACAGCTATACACCTAGCAGCTCCAGTTCTAGCTCGGAGTAGGTATAGCTGTAGTTCACATCACGTATGTATAAAAAACTATCATCACAATTTATGGTTATTCGTAAAGATACACTCGAATTTGAACATTAAGTGATCAATCTAACACAGCTCATCACACTTTATTAATTTAATCATCTGCATTATTACGTTGTCCGTATTTAAAACATGTGTAATCAACTTTTTGCCAGTTGATATACTAGTAAAAAATGTTTTGGATGATCGGTTAATTATTGATCTCTATGAAACAATTAAAGGTTTAATTGTGTAATTATAATAATATATAATCATATTATACATATAATAATATAAAAATAAGAGGCCGTGCCTTCTTACGGTTGAATTGAATATTATCCTGGAATTTTATTGTATGTGTTTGGTTGTAGGATATAAAAAAAATCACAATTTATTGAAATCACAATGTATTTGTTTTAATTGAAGAGGGAGCCAAAGCATCACATAAATCATCTCTGCGGGTTGTAATACACATATGTTAAGAATGACTCAATTCACATAATGTACTTATTTGAGTACTATGTTTATTGAATGAAATAGACAAGTCATAAAAACGTATATAATATACGAAAGTTCAAAGATTACTAACTGTGTAACACAACGACAACGATTAAATGTATTTTCTTAAATATTTAGATTTAAGAGGTTTATTAAAATTGCAATGTTATCAATAAACATTAAAAGGCTATCATCGTATCACTTGGGTTGTGGATATTGTTTTCTAAGCTAACGATGTAATTTAAAGTTGAGCAATAACTGTCTTAAACTAGAGAGAGAAAATTACGCAGGTTATCTAGTGCGATAATCTAAAAACAATAGAAATGAAGATTATTGGTGTGTTAAATAAGTCGCCTATAAGAATATATTTTTATATTGTTCAGCTGTGTAAGCTTCTGCGGATGCAATTCACTCTTTGAGGTCACTTTCCTAGGTTAGGTGTATAGCGAGTGAACATCACAAATAATATATTATGTAAATATATTATTAAATATGTTTCGTGTTTCGTACGCAGAAACATTCAAAAAGTAATATACATTTACAATTGCGGGGCGATATTTCAAAATAGTTATGTTGAAATATCGCCTATTTGTTAAATTTCTGTACAAGGAGATTATATTTAGTTATGAAAGTTTATAAACGATGATAATCCAACCATTCAGCATGTCTGGTGAATTTGTCCCTTGCCAAAGACCTGCTGTATTTAATTAATATTATTTGTATACTGTTTTTGTAAAATAATCTAGTTATGGGTTTTAATTTTGGTTTCCAAATTGGACCAATCAATATAAATTAAAGGACATCTTACCAGACGTACTTCCGTTACCTTTTACATATTATGTAGATGGCGTAAAGTTATTTCTCATAATAATAAACAAAGAACCGTGTTTTGCTGGTTGGTTGGAACATCGACAAATGTTGAGTCGACATGCAGCTACCATAAACATTCTTTTCCATCACGGTTCACTAGTTAATGGTTCCCATAAGTCTTGTCTATTTTGAAAGGTCGATGTGAGAGCCAGGCATTGTTAAAGATAGATAGAACTTCTTGTGTTGTATGTAGATTATTATTTACTCAATTATTTTAGAAACGAATACGTTAAAAGTTACTGAGTTCAAATTGTTTCGCTATTAGTAGATAAATTATTCTCATCTTCACATTGTACTGACTTTATAAATTTATTTAGGACTTTAAAGATTCTAATAATTTAAATTTGTAATAATTCCTAGATATTTTTACAATCGAAGTTTCCGGACACACATAGATAAGGTAAAGCTTCAATTGAGTTACAAATCTTAGATACATTTTTTTTTATAATATGTATTTAATAATATAATACTAGGAAAATAATTACCAGAACACAATGCAATACATTTTTATGGCATTTTATGCTTTTCAGGATTTTCATACCTATTTCTAAGTGATAAAGGTATTTGTTAGGTTTAAGTAGTCTACTATGTAAGTAGTACAGTAACTTTCTGATGTTAAGTTACTTTAATACAATCGGAGAAGCAATAGAAGTAATAAACACATATTACGATTTTTAAATTGTAGCTAAATTAATATTTAGTATAATCCATCTCATTATAGTCGAAGGTTGCGATATTTTTATCTTTAAAACAGTTGTCTTTGTAGTGTGTCTAAATTCGAACATGGTGGAATTTAAGTATATTGCGCTGTTTCGTTATAAATTAAGAATTCTAAATAGGGTGCAATGCTAATCGATAAATCCAAAAATTCTGTTTGAAACTTGAAAGTATGAAAAATGTTGATAAGAAAATTCACAAACTAGCGGAACTTTAACAGATAAAGTAAATTAAGTTGTCCCAAAAAATATAGTTTTTATTTTATCTCCAAACGAAGCAAAAGTATAGTACATATCTGTTGGACAATATATAAGTACATCAAGAGACATTGACGGTTCTTCTGCTCAACTCCAGTTCTCAGTCGGACATCCGTTGGAAACAATTACTGTCTAATAAGTAACACTCGATCATATCAAAACACAATGTCAAGTATGGAGCTTCATTCGCATCACGCGTCTTTTAATTTTATCGATTATTACTTATTTGACAGCAATTGTTTTGGACGAATGTCGGATGGAGAACAGGAGCAGACCCCCTGGTTCCGTTGCACTGAAGGCGATGTTTGAGCAAAAGTGTATAGCTTGATGTGCTGTTGACTGTACAATCATTGTTTGACAGCGTTTGAACGGGTTTTTGAAGTGTTTATCGAGAAATAACTTTATATTTTTTAAATTATACTTACTGCGCGTGCTCGTTTGATCAAATTCGTATTATTAGTTTTTGTAATTTATGTTCTGACGCTTTACACGTCTCGTAAGTGCAGCCACGGAAATTATTATTGTGGTTCCGTTGCTAAACTTTTTTTAGGAAGTTCCGTTTATATTTTATTTGAATTCTTCGGTTGTGTTATTGACGTCTTTACATTATTAAGATACTTATAAAAAAGACGAGATATACAAAAATGTGTAGCCAATGAGTAAATGAGTATTATCAAAATTAATACATTAAAATTGAAAATGACTGTTAATATTTTGAACACAGTATATATTGTACCATATATCATTATGTAATAAAAGCTAGCAAATATTCATAGAATGTATATGTCGAATATATTGTATATTAAGGTTTTTACATTGAACTTATAATTTTATGGTTGTGTTGTAGGTATCAGTAATTTATTTCTTTATGACCTCAATTTATACTTAATTTAAATTTATTCACGAAAGTTAAGATATGCAGAACGTTATGTAAGGATTCTAAGGATTTTGTACAATTTTGAAATCAAAGTCTCTGTAAATGTTAATGTCAAATTATACTTTTCTAAGCTTACATAAACAACGATTACTGCAAGAAATTACAGTCTTTGTGATATATGAAACAGTAATAGAATCAAAGTCAGCTTACATGGTTTCATGATTGTGTTAATGTATAGTGTGTGAATTGAAAATCCCTTCTATTTATTGAAGAATAAATATTTTTTTAAATTGACTAATTTGTTTATTCTGTGTGCAATTTAGTGTAAGGAACTGGCAAAGTAAAATAATATGTTGTACTTCCCGAGATCACAGACCAATAACTTAAAAGGACTGCTAATCGCGATAGAAGACAACGTAGTTGGGTATTCAGTACCTATTGGTACACCACAAATCGCAACGAGTAGAGGATCGTGGGGTTAATGGGCGCCTACTCCTACTTACTAAGGAAAATTGATAATGACCGTCAGGATGGCTGGTCGCTTGTGGCGTCTGGCACTGAGTGTATATTCAAGAATTGCTACCTATTTGCTACCTTTTCTTAATAATTGCTACCTATGATATATTCTGAAAAATTAAAGAAATATTTTGACCAGCCATTCTGACGTCATGATGGTTGGTCGCCTCTTTGTTCAGCATGAAGGGAGGAGATTTTCCAGAAGTATGCATTACCAATAATTGCTACCTCTTTGCTACCTTCATGAATTAAAGGTATACGCTTCATATCTACATTAGTTAAAAAAATATAACCGATTGAAAATTTTACGAAAAAGTGCCTGACTAATCTAAAAAAGCAAAAGTTTTTAGTTCTTAATTGTCATAATATAAAGGGCAGGCGTTTAACAATTACTTCGAGGCGACCTAATCTGGTGAGGTTGTTGATGTATAAAATCGAGAGGGTAGGTAACCATCATAACGCAACATGCGTGTCATTTGTCATAAGTGGATCAAATTGTTTTAGTTTAATTTATCTGAGGATTCAAAGGTTTTGCTGTTGCTAATATTGAGTTTAATATTTATGTTTCTGGTTTAAGTAGTGTTTGGTGACAATGAAAAGAGGGAGGAAGTTTGTTATGCCACTCGATGAGCAAAAAATTGCATTACTGCAAAAAAAGTATTTTTCCATTAAATCTGATTTACCGCCGCCTAGCGATCCACTTTGGTGAAAGTAGTGTAGTAGTGAAATTAGTACCCTTTTATCACATAAATTTTCCACACGGGCACTATATGTCTCTGTAAAGAAAAATTTCGACATTTTCTTCAGTGGCCCTGATAATCCTGCTGTTCGTTAAGAAGATCAAAACAAAATTCTGTCTAATGATAATCAATCAAAAAAGTAATACAAGGACGAAGTAGCAGTCAGTTAAACAGTAATTTATAATTTTATTATTGATACCTATCAGTGGGAACGAATGCACCCGTTAAGTAAACGTATACAGTTAAATCATGGACCTGAGACTGTATTTAGAATGAAACATCGCTTGTCTAAGCATCAGTGAGCCCATCTTTTGCGCGAAAAGATTTGGGAGGTTCTTCCCATTGCACATAGTTGGATATTTAAAAAGTATTCTATTTCTAAGAATAATAAAATAACGTGCAATGGAATTTGCAAAGAATGTGAGGCTAACACAAAAATTACAAATAACTAGCCTTCGAATAATATAGCCCTGTGTAAGTGTACTGTAACAAACTACGGCAAAGATTTTGTTCATACTTTTGCTAAAAAATTAAAACTATATAATTTTTGTAACAACTATATAATTACAACTATATTCTTTGTTAATATTGAGTTAAGATGGTTACCTACCCTCTCGGTTTTATACATTAGCAATCTCACCAGACTAGTTCGCCTCGAAG